TCCTGGAGGTCCAGTAAGGATCATCTCTTATTGATCCAGTGTTACTACAGGAGAAAACCTAAACTAACTTTATTTATACTAGATGGCTCTATCAGTTCTGTTCTTCCTAGAGGTCCAGTAAGGATCATCTCTTATTGATCCAGTGTTACTGCAGGAGGAAACCTAAACTGGATAGTTCTATCAGTTCTAAACTGTTCTTCCTAGAGGTCCAGTAAGGATCATCTCTTATTGATCCAGTGTTACTACAGGAGGAAACCTAAACTAAACTAACTTTATTTATACTAGATGGCTCTATCAGTTCTAAACTGTTCTCCTTCTTATTGATCCAGTGTTACTACAGGAGGAAAGACGATCGCTGTACCGGTACGTGCCACCAACACAGGAGAAAGCTTTTGAACATCCAAGACTACCTTAAATCCATAATATCTCTAGCAGCTTTGCTTCGTATCACAGGCAACTCATGTGACAACAATCCTACAAACACTTCCATGCCATTGCTTTTCAATGCGTCTTCAGTATTCACTCTCATACAGTAATGCAGTGTGTCCAGTACAACGCCCTGGAAATGAAAGACATGTGTAAACTGTCGTATCTCGTTTCGATATCTTTATTGACTAATTTCTTCCATCTTTAACCCTTTAAGTGGCAATGCGCCCAGATGGCCCTACTTTAGTATTTTACTCTGTCTAATGCCAGACTATTTTACTCTGTCTAACACCAGACGATTTTACTTGTCAAGTGAAGAGTGCTCCACTCAATGGGTTAACCAAACTGTCCATGCACCCTCTTAACCCTTTGAGTGGCAATGCGCCCTACTTTAGTATTTTACTCTGTCTAACGCCAGATGATTTTACTTGCTGCCACTCAATGGGTTAACCAAACAAACTGCCCATGCAGGAATCTTAACCCTTTAAGTGGCAATGCACCCTGATGCACCCTACTTTAGTATTTTACTCTGTCTAACAGCAGACAATTTTACTCCTCAGGGGGAGAAGAGTGCTGCCCCTTAATGGGTTAAATTTATTTTTCCTTCACCTTAATCTCATCATTTTCCTCCATTAGTTTTTCCACTAAAGTAGGAACCAATCCAGCCTCAACAATCCCGTCTTGTCCGTTGCTTGTGTGTGAGAGCATCTCTATTGCTTTCTGAGAATTTCTTCTTGATTCATACACTACATCATCGAACTGAGAAATATACAAATATTAAAGGGTATAACAGTGCATTCACCCATTCACTCTGTGTTTCGATTTGACGGAGTATAAAAGATTAACAGCTATTGCAATTGAGACATGCGTTGAAAAATAGCAGTAAAGAGATGAGTTCGGATGGTAGCCAATTGCTGATAATGTTCAACCTACCAATTTTGATAAAGGTACTATAATTTTGTGCTCGAGGAATGCGTCTCTTCCTGACGCATGACCTGCTATGATGTATAGAACTTCTGTTGTCTTGTGCCGGACTGTTGCGTCGATATCTGATAACAGTTTTTTTAAACTTGATACAATACCTGTAGTTAGAAACATGAATTGATCAGAATAAACACTTGTGATGGTTAAATGAGCCTGGCTAGGCAGGATAAGACGGTCACTGAGGTCCTGCTTGTAATATATCCTGGTCATACTCCGCCTGGGCAGGCCGGATCCCGGCAGCATCTACTACCGGGATGCCTTAGCTGGAACAAGAAAGGTGTGAATTCCTGCTTCATCCCAGCAATGTTTTGTCCATATAAACATGCCATCCCACCAGGGGGAGTTTTCCGGCTAGGTGGGATGGAAACGTCTTGCCCCACATATAGCCAGAATAATATAAAAATGCACCCATTGAACCTCTGGCAGGAATATTGAACCCAGGGTGCATTCTGTGTCAACTCTACACCAATTCCGGTGCAGCGCTCTAACCAACAAGGCTGCCATTATACATTGTATGGGTAAACATCAGAACTTTTCTTCATGTCAAAAATCTCGATAGTTGCATTTTTCGCAATAGGTCTATTTATAAAATTATGTATAAAAACATCTAATCCCTCCTGCATCGATCCATATATCTTACCCACTCGTAACGCTTGAGAAATATTCTCGGGATCGTGTAGTATATCACATAACGACATCAAAGCTCTATGCTTTGTCAATAAATCATCACCGTTCAACTCTCGGTTCTGCAACAAACAACAACAATAAAAAACAAAAATTTCGCAAATATAAAACCATGCATAGACATGAACGATCGCGCAAAACAAGAATTCACAGACTCGTACTAACCAATTTCGGGAGTGCTCGTTGTCCATAAGCTAAAGGAGCTTTAGTAATATCTATATTCGGCGGTAATCTGTTAGAAATAACCGTTCCAGCCATTATTTTTTCTCAAAAATATAAAATTCGATATTTACAAAAATTGGCTTCCTTGGTCGCTAGGCAACAGCGTCCGATGCGAGATTCGGGCAGTTGCGGGCAAACTCCCAATTATTCACAGGCAAGCTCCCTTGGAGTTAAATTTTAACCAAGATATTGATAAATTCAGTTGATGAACCTGGAACATTAAAAAGTTGTAGAAAAAAATATTGTCTATTCTCTCGTTAAACTTTTGCAATTATCAAGATCATTTTGAGATATTTCGATTTGATCAGCCAATCATGTCTAATGACCCTCACAATGATTGGCTGAGCTAATTGAAACGTTCAAATGCTCGTTACAAAAAATGGCACTCCATGGGAGAATAGACAATATTCTTAACTGCAACCATTCGAGCTTCAATAGAAATGAGTCAAATGACCATACCATACAGCAATATTATGAATTTGTATTTATATGAATTTCAACACTGTAAATTATCTACAGATCTACAGGTAGAATTTAGGGACGGGCCATTAGAAAAGTGATGATGAAGGGGCAAAACGAAAAAAAAATTAAAATTCCCTAGCTTGGAAGATAGGCCTGTAAATATTGCCTCCCCCCCCCCCTCCATCAATTGTCTAATGGTCCGTCCCTTACTAAGCATTTATAATAGGTGATGTGCCACAAATCCCATTGAATTCAAGCGACAAAGAGATTTTCGCCATGTTGGATGATATTTGCATAGCAAACAAGAAAAATTCTTTGTCAATGTCATCCAACATGGCGGCGGTGACATATTTGCACACCACCTATTGTGCAGTAGAAGACGACTTTATCAGAGTGAGAAAATAATGTTAATAATTCTTTCGATTACATGTATCAGTCTTGTACAAATAAAATTGAGATATTGTGGTTAAATTTTTTTGAAAGTGTCGATATTGCTGAAGTTGACGATCTGATGCTCCGCAAGGCTCCATCACGACTGTTATTCAAAACTAATGCCCTTTGCTCTTTTCGCTTTCTTACTGTTAGGATTAACTAAACTACTGCCTTGCTGCTTTCGTCTCAAGTTCACGCTGGGTCCACCTTTCCTAACCGGCTCAAAACCAAAGCCTTGCGTCTCCGATCCGTGCTTCTCCTTTTGACGTCCCATTTCTATTGCATCATTTGCGTCTGTTAATGACTTTCTTAATTCCTTTACTTTATCCGTCAAATGGAACACCATGTAGCGCAATTCTGTTTTTTTGTCATTAATTTTTGCTTCAAATAAGTCAAAATTTAATGTATTTTTTTGCCCGGAACACTGAAGTATAATTTTATTCCCCACTTTGACCAAAGAAACTGACAAACACTCAAACGCGTACTTTATAATGTACAAAAACTTTTCCAAATCCTCCAGTTCACTCAGTTCGCATTGGGCTATCAAATCTTGCTTTTCAAAAGTCGCCCTCCATATATCAAATCCGTTGGTTGCTGCTAAAATAAAAGTAGCCCCATCGGAACTGATTCTAGTCCAACAAATACCTCTTTCCCCGTCTAGATTTCCGTCATAAAATAGCTCGTTTGTGTCAGATTTTACAATTAATTCTCGTAGAGACAAACTGTCCTGAAATTCTGCCATATTTGTTTAGCTTTTTTGCCAACTTCACGCTTTTTAGGTCTAGCTCAATGATATTTTGGAAAAACACAATAAACGTCATCAAGCGAGAACCGTGACAATATAATTTATTACCATATATATTATTAACATTCAGCAGAACCTGAAATCTAAAATCACCCCTAAACTAAACCACCTGAATAAACCCTGTTCGCAGGCTATTCCTAGAATATCGATTTTGGCTGGAATTTTTAATTGGATCTACGTCCCCCCGTAAAATTGTTTATATTCCAAATTTTCCGGGGGGTGGGGGATAAGGGTTAGGAAAGTAACGGAAGCCATTTTGATTTTTTGCTACCTCCGCGAAGAGAGTTCTTTTGGAATTTTTGCAGAAAAAGTGGCCAGAATTCTTTTATTATGGTGGTAAGAAGGAACCGTTTTATCTGTTTTGTGTCTTAAAAGGTTGAAAGTACAAGTTCCGACAATTTAAAGTGTTACATTAAGTGCACATTTGTGATTTGTATCATTTTTGACACCGTGGCAGACCGTGCTGCATATTTCGAATATTTGTGAGATTTAAAGTTTGACATAGATTATCTGTTTGTATTTATCGCTAATATTTACATAGTACAAAGCACAGAGACCACAGGCCATAAATACTGAGCAAATTTGTGCATTTGTTGAGGTCATTCATAGTACTTTAACTTAATAGTACATAGTATAAAATTATTAAAGAGGGGGGCATTGGGGGATATTCAATACCGTATAAATACCGCAAGCAAATTTTGTCAATTACCGCAGTTTTTAGTCCAAAATTGCAAATACCGTGTACCGCAAGATTTCCAGTATCGTAATACCGCAATTTTTCAAGGAAAATACCGAAATACCGTAAGGAAAATAAGCTAATACCGCCATACCGTAAATCCCAATGTCCCCCTCATTAAACTGTGCAGTGGAAAAATATGTAACCTGATCAACACCCATTGTAAAATTATTATTATAGGTGATGTCCAAGTTACAGCTATTTGCATTCAAGTACAAAACGCAAACATTTTCGTGCTTTTTTTTTATGTTTGAAATGGGGAGTTTACGATTGGAAACCGAAATATATTCACCGCTCATGTCACATGTCACAGTACAAAGCCTCAGTTATTTTTGGTGCAACTGTCATGTTTTGAGTGCCTTTGTGCACGTTTCACTATTTCCAAGCTCACAATATTGTAAGAGTGACCAAACTTGTTTACAGTCATACTTTTGCAACTAGTCTAACGTAGTATATCATGGGCTTGGAAATATTGAAACGTGCATGAAGGAGGCCCACCAAGGGTGTAACTCAGGTTGCTTGTCACTCATTTTGTAGCTTTGACACTTTTGTAATAAATGTCGCTGTCACTTTTGACTCATAACACAAATTGCAATTTGTCGCTTTTTCCCAGTCAGAAGCTGTCGTTTGTCGCCTCTTTTTTAGATAGTCTGTCGCCTCTTTTTAAGGAATGTCACCTGTCGGTCATAACCCCTTGGTGGGCCTCATGAAGGTTAACATCAAATCATGACAGTTGTGCCAAGAATGACTTAACCCTTCATGTCACATGAGCAGTGAGTACATTTCCGTTTCCAAATGCACAAAAATGTTTGCAGTTTGTTCTTGAATGCAGATAGCTGTATCTCACCGTCGCCATGTTGGATGACATTGACAAAGGATTTTGCTTGTTTGCAATGCAAATATCATCCAACATGGCAAAAATGTAATCTAAATAACATCGTCCAGGTTTTAGCACATGCCAAATTGTCTTACAGAGTAAAATAATAAAGTAGGACACATACTGTATATTAAGGTTTATTGCAACTTAATGGGTTAACTAGACACCTGGGCAGATGATTACCCCACTGAGTGCTCCCACCTTGATTTGTAGCACAAGAGAATATTGATTAAAGGTGGCACTGTTATTAATCATGATCGGATGTTCGAAGCTGACGTTTTTATAGAAGATGGTGTCATCAAGTATGTCTTTAGGAAATTCTAAATTCAAATGTATTTAATTGTAATAATATTGGTGATACAGATTTGAATTTTCGAATTTGCAAGTGTCTGCACGATTATAGTTTGCCTCAGTTGCACACGAGGAGATTGCTTCCAAATTGCATGACTGTACTGGCTATTGATCCATTTTCACCTGTTGTAACACTGGATCAGTAAGGGTTGACTCTTACTGGATCTCTATGAATAACAGTTTAGAACTAATAGAGCTATCCAGTATAAATAAAGTTAGTTTAGTTTAGGTTTCCTCCTGTAGTAACACTGGATCAATAATAGTTGACTTCTACTAGGAGGAACAGTTTAGAATCTAGATTTTTCATATAATTATTGGATTCAATGTGGTAAAAATTTATGTTATATTCCAGGGACGTTGGTGAGTCACTTGTTGTACCTGGTGGTGCTAAAGTCATTGATGCTCATAAGAAATATGTCATGCCTGGTAATTTATGATTAATTATATTATATATCTATCAAGGTATGCTACTTCTCACATACCAAAAACTAACCCTGCCCATATATCATCATGAACATGTGGCTTAGGTGTGGCAATAACACCCCATGTTAATATATCTGATTCAATGTACATGTTCTATTGATTAGGTGGTATCGATACTCATACTCACATGCAACTACCATTTATGGGCACCGTTGCAGTAGATGATTTTTATTATGGTACCAGAGCAGCTGTCGCTGGTGGCACTACTATGATCAGTAAGTTTATTTCATTTGTTATTTTCCCCTTCCCACTCAGACTGCTGGAAATTGTCTGGCAGCACCAGCAGCACTGCTGCCACAAAATTTCTAGCAACATATGCGGGGTAGGAAAAAAGAATTTTCTTCCTGCGAGCACAACCTGGAGACAAAAATTTCCTGCAGACCAACGGAGTATTTTTGTGCTAAATCTGCATATGTGCATAAACATATAGTGTTCTAGCTGACCATGGTTTTCAATTCAACAATTAACCATATGTTAACAACATAAAACGCTCACTGAGTTTCCAGCAATATACATACCCTTTTCTAGATATATACCTAATAATAATAAACGAACGAACGAATGTATTCCCTCCACTCGTGAGCTCATTTACCATTGTCACATATAGTAAATGTCCAGGCCTTGTGACCCTGGATGAAGGCCTGGACATTTACTATATGTGACAATGGTAAATGAGCTCACAAGTGGAGGGAATACATTCGTTCGTTCGTTTATTATTATTAGGTATATATCTAGAAAAGGGTATGTATATCGCTGGAAACTCAGTGAGCATTTTATGTTGTTATTTTATTTCCTAAGTACGGGTCTCCGACCAATTTCATATAACCATATGTTGTTGCGCCAATAGTGGGACATGGGTGTTAAGGTTTCCTTCAGATTTTCAATAGCAAATCTTCATCTAAAAGAATCCTTCTTTTCACTCTCCATTCCTCCTCTTCTTCCCAAAGCTCAATTATTTTATGATCATTTTACATTCTAGTTGATTTTGTGATCCCTCAGAAAGGAGAGTCGTTGCTTGCAGCGTATGACAAATGGCGAAAGTGGGCGGATGAAAAAGGTATTTAGAATTATAAGTCTTTGTTGATTGAAACACTCACCCCATTTATTCATTGAATAAGATTCTTTTTATTACTAAAAGTGTCATGATTTTCAGTTATTGAGAGAATTTACTGTTTAAGAGAGTCTGTCAGTACCGTATTCCTTTGTCAATATAAAAGCAAGGTTGCTAATCTTTATCTTGTTTATTTTTTTTAACTAGTTGTCTGTGATTACTCATTTCATGTTGCCGTCACTTGGTGGGGTGAAAATGTAGGCAAAGAAATGGAAGTCCTTTGCAAGGAACGAGGTAATTAAGAAGGGATGGTGTAACATTCCATGGTTATTGCTAGGTTAGTGCTTGATACGCTGGGATTTATATATCATAGGTTAGAGGTTAGGGTTAGAGAAGGGTTTAGGGTAGGGATCAGTTTATCTTATAAAAACTCAACTTTAACTATACCGGGTGGCGCAAAAAAAAGTACAACTGTTTGATTACTTGTAACTCAGAAACAATAAGCAGTAGAACCATAAATCGAGTTTAATTGCATCCAGCGATATCTAACTTAAATTTTGGTATATTTGACAGGCATATTCGTGCAAGATTAACTGAGATATAAGAGTTTAAACTTTTGTTAACAATTTTGAAACGGTCACAAATTAGCTAAAAATCAGTTTAATAGGCCGTTTTTAGCTAATTTGTGACCGTTTCAAATTTGCTAACAAAAGTTTAAACACTCATATCTCAGTCAATCTTGGACGAAAATGCCTGTCGAATATACCAAAATTTAAGTTAGACATCACTGGATGCAATGAAACTCGATTTTGGGTTCTACTGCTTATGGTCTTTGAGCTATATGTAATCAAACAGTTATACTTTTTTTTGCGCCACCCGGTACTATTTGTACAAGGCTTTGGTAAACAGAGAGAACTTGATATTCGTCCAAGTTCGTGGTTTGTTATTTCAATTTTATGAGTGAAAAGATCTTTCAGTGATTTGGGCTCCATTTTACTTAGAAGCTTAAACATTAGTTTTGCTTTTGCTTTTCTCCTTTCTATCGTAAGAGGCTCGTATGATCTGCTTCATTATCCATGTCTATATTGATTTCCAGTATCTTGTATAAATGAACTTACTGTTTGAAGTTATTTGGCGAAGACCATCGATTCACAGGGAACATGACAAGAATCTTGAGGTTTTCTGGTTTCTCGTCACTGCTAAGTGACAACTGACATTGGTTATCACCAGCCACATAGAACCTATATGTTCCTGTGTTTGGAGCCTACCAAGAAAAAACAGACATGATAAGTTTTCTATAGCAAATGCCTTCTAATAGATAGATAATGGATATGTTTCGAGAAAAAAATGAATGCATACCACAATATTGCCCAGTTTCGCATAAAAACAATGAAATTGAAATGCCTAAGTTTTGTCTAAAAGCATGCATACATTGATGAACTAAAAAATCAGTGCTTCTTCAGTGGATATGGACGTGAACAATAACTTACCACATAGTATGTTGTCAGTCTTACACCATAGCTGTTGCCTTGGTTAGGACGTATAGAAAGACGTCTAATCTTCTTTGAAACGTCAGGTTTGCCAGGGAAACGTGGATCAGTAATAAGTCTCGAAAGAGCCTTGCTTGGAATATTTCTCCATTTTTCAAATGTTACACCATTTTCTATAAAATGAACAATATTGCTGTCTGTCAGTTCTTAAATTCATGAAATCATTATTTTTTTGAAAAATCGCTTGAAAGGATAAAAAAATGAAATAGTTTCAGTGTTCCTACCTGGAATTGTTGTCCCTCCAACAACGGCTGTACCAGGAGCTAAAATATGTAACACGCTTTAGTTAAATAAAATAAACCGAACGGTTAAGTGCAGTACAGTAAAGCAAATTACAGCACAGCACAGTAGAGTGAAGTAGATTTCAGTGCAGTGCAGTACAGTACAGTACAGTACAGTATAGTACAGTACAGTACAGTACAGTACAAACCAGGATAACACAGTGAAGTACATAACGGTAAAGTAGAGTAAAGTAGAGTAGAGTAGAGTAGAGTAGAGTAGAGTAGAGTAGAGTAGAGTAGAGTAGAGTGGAGTGGAGTGGAGTGGAGTGGAGTGGAGTGGAGTGGAGTGGAGTGGAGTGGAGTGGAGTGGAGTGGAGTGGAGTGGAGTGGGAGTGAATTACGAATGGGTTTACCTGGTGGTCGAACGTAAACATCTTCTTTGGAAATTGGTTTTGGCCTCAATCTTCCTGGAAGTCTTACTCCAACACTGAGATGATCACCGCCTTTGCCTTCCTTCATTACAGCCTCTAGATAATATGCTTTGCCCTTCACCAGTCGGATTGGTCTTGATTTCTGTTTCGGATGTCTAAGTAAAACGTAAACAGCAAATTTAGTTTCGTAACGATGTACTACACACGAAAAAAAGGCACAAGTTGTTACAGGTCTGCAAACAAGTTGTTACAAATCTGTTCACAAACTTTCGATAAGTTGTGTTCGCACTTCGTTACAAGTTTGGAACACGCTGTTAACAACTTGTAACAGGCTTCATGGCATCACTAAAGTTGTTACTAACAAGTCTGATACAGTCATGATATAACAGGAATGTTACAAAGTTGACGACACAAAGTTGTAACAATATTGTTATATCAGTCATGTTCTTGGTCCTTGCTCTAGTTTTAATAAACGAATGTAAAGCGCAAATCACTTTATTCACACTATTTAATATATATACATTATTAACTATAACTAATTCATTTTTTTTTGAGTATATAGAAGAAAAAGATAAAATGAACGAAAATATTTAAAGCGTGCACGACGGTTAAAAGAGCATCAGCTTTCGAGTTAACCATCGTCTACGTATAAATAAATAGCTAAGCGGTTGAGCTAATTATTGAATTACATAATTCTAGTGGTATGCAATATAATTTGTTTGTTAATTTATTTTTATAAATATTTAAACGGGAATAGAAGAAATAAAAGAAAGGAAATATGAAGAACGGCCATTATAAATATATGCAAATACTTTTTGTATATTAGGAGAATAATTTAAACAGTACAATGGATGGCACCATCATTGATTAATCATTAAATTGATCTTATATTGTCTCTTAAATCCATTTGTTGTTGATATTTTCTTCAAGCAGGTAGGAATACCTTCCCATAACACTGAAGCGGAGTATTTGAAAGTAAATTTTCCATAGTTTGTTCTTATTTGTGGTCGGTAAAAATTACATCTAGCTGCATTCCTGGTATTATAATTATGAACATTGGTCACTGGTAATAGAAAGTCGTTAAATATAGAAGGAACCGTAGTAGGATTCATAAATAATTTATGTCTAGCAATCCAATTTTTAATTTGACAATATTTTCAAATTTTAAAAATCCAAGTAGTTGAAAATATTGCGAAGCAGATTCTTTTCTGTTAGCAAAGAGGATACTGCGAACACAAGTATTTTGCTTAGACTTCAACTGTTTTAGATTTGTATGATAAGTATTTCCCCAACTCATAGACCCGTAGTCTAAATATGGATAGATAAGGGTATAGTATAATTGCTTTAGCATAATTACCGATAAATAATTACGCAATTTATAGAAAATTCCCAAATTCTTTGATATTTTACTTTTAACATGAGTTATTTGATTTTTCCAGTTCAATTTCTCATCGAGATATATTCCTAGATATTTAATACATTGTTTTTGTATAATATTCTGTATTTCTATTTTTGAAGTTATAGTTTTCTTTGATGAGCGGATCAACATAAAATGTGTTTTTTGCATATTAATAGAGAGCTTATTAGCATTGCAATATTTAAGTATATTCTGAAATTCGTTATTCATCACTGTTTCAATTTCCTTAAGATTTTTACTGGCATAGAATATATTTGCGTCATCAGCAAACAATCGAAAGGAAAGCGTCGTTGATGAATTTGGCAAGTCATTTATGTATAATAAAAATAACAATGGGCCTAAAGTGGATCCTTGAGGTATTCCGCATATAATATTTCGGAGGCTAGATTCTATATTTCCAATTTTTACGTATTGATATCTATTGTGCAAGTAGCTTCGAAACCATTCTTGGGCTATCCCACGGACTCCATACTTTCCCAACTTATCAAGCAGAATATCGTGATTAACGGTATCAAATGCTTTTGAAAAGTCCAGGAACATGACTGTATCGGACTTGTTGGAACAACCTTGTAACAAATCTGATAATATCAACAAGATTGTTGCAACTGTTAACAACTTGTTGACGGCTTATTGGCAGACTTGATGTGCAAATTGTGCTTAATACTTATTAAGCAGTATGTTGCAACAAGGCACTCTAACGTATATATAACTTTCAAAACTTTACCAAACTATGCAAAGCTTACTTGTTCCATTGGTTACGGTTGGTCCAGAAGTTTTTGGGGAAGATAACTATCGTTCTAAGATGTTCTGGCTTGTTGTCTGTGCTTAGAGACAATTTACATTGGTCATCGCCAGAAACATAGAACACATACGTGCCAGTTTTTGGAGCCTAAAAAGAAAAACGGGCAGTGTATAACATTATAAGAGTTGATTGCTTTTATCTATAGTAGAATGTTTTCCGCTCATTTCTGCAAAAAGATTTTTCATTAAATGGGATAGGAGTATAAGTAGTTGTCAACCCGTTCTTTGAAGACCACGCCTTTAGCTATATAAGGGACTCATCTGGTGTTCAATTAAATTTCCAGGGTGAGAAACAGTCACTAGATATTTAGAGGGAAGAGGAGTCACTAAATACGTAAATTATGATTATCCAATGTAAGTTTTTGGTGGGACTTAATTGGGGGACTCACGTCCTGTTGTCCTTACCATCAGTCATTTGATTGTAAAGTTAATAAAAAAAAATTTAAGAGATGAGCGGAAACACAGTATGCAAGGGTGAGCACACAGAAGCATGACAAAATCTAACTGACGTACAAGAGATCGGTATACAAACGCCTGTATTCTAAAAGCTCACTAACACTCAATGAGTGAAAGTTCAATCTGAGCTTCTCTCGAGTGTCAATGCTGTTTTTGAATAGTTGGAGGGTGAGCAGTCACATAGTAAGATACGACACTAACCCTCCAGCTATTCAAAAACAGCAATGACACTCGAGAGAAGTTCAGATTGAACTTCCACTCATTGAATGTGAGTGTGAATGAGCTTTTAGAATACGCGAGCGTAAGTCTCTGTATCTGCAATATATAGTTTTTATAACGGAATTTCTGGTATAGTAAACAACTTACCACATAGTATGCCGTCAATCGTACTCCATACAAGTCACCCGCATTCTGTGGTGCTTTCAATTTCTTAATTTTAGTTGTCACATCTGGCTTGCTCGGATATTTTGGATTCGTAGTAAGACTCGACAGGGTGTTTCCTAGTATATTTTTATACACTTCCATCGTGACTCCTTTTTCTAAGAACAAAAGAAAACATAAAAATCTTTCAGAATATTGATGATTCTTAATACTCAAACCCTTCCCAACATATTTGCAAGATATCCGCACAGTAAAAGACTTAAAAATTTCATGAATATATAAAGAGTTTACAAAAACAAACCTGGGGTCGAAGGTGTTACACCAATAGGACCTGTTAAAGAAAAGAAAATGTTGTCTTGAACATCTTTTCTAAAAATGAATTGTATCTTTCAACACATTCTTTCAATCTTCTTCAAATCGAGCAAAAAACTACAGCATGTATAATAATGTACAAATAGACTAGTTGCAAAGCTCTACCTGGTGGTTTGATATAGACATCGTTATTAGCAATAGGTCTTTGTAAAACACCACTTGGTAGTTTTACTCCAACGCTGATATGATCTCCACCTGGACCTTCCTTCATTAGGGCCTCGACATAATACACCTGACCTCGAGATAGTGTCATTGGAGCTGACTTTTGTGAAGGATCCCTGGAGAGAGATGAAAATATATCCGTTATTTCTTTACTTTATCTTATTTACTGTGGTTTAATTCAGTTTGTTTTACTCCGATTCAGTTTACTTTGCAATAATTAGATAAATAGGAGGTTACATACTTGTTCCACTCGTTTGGTCGAGTCGCCAGTCCAGACTTAAACTGAACAATTGGCCTTAAGTTTTTAGGATCATCATCACTACTTATAGACAGTCGACATTGGTCATCACCAGAAACATAGAACGTATATTTCCCTGTTTCTGGAGCCTAAAGAAACATAATACACTTTCAGTACTCACACGAGGTCAATATGCTACTACGCATGTATGGATACCATCAATTGGATAACTGAAACACTGGAAAATTGACTACTGGTTACAATCCTCTTCAGTTGGACTAAATCCAGGCACATATGACAGGGGAGTAGACTAATAAGGGGGGGGGGGGGCGTTATGGTCCGCAACTGACATCTACCTCAATATTACAAATCATGAACATTTTTTCTATGGCTCATGTTATTTCTCTTGGACGGAAATATGGAACGTACGATAACATACCACATAGTAAGTTGTCAATCGCAATCCATAATTATTCGCTATATTCAAAGGTGAAACAAGCCCTGGTATTTTCCTTGTGGAATCGGGTGTCTTTGACCTGAACTTCTTGTTGTACAACAAACGATTCAGAGTCATTCCCGGGATGTTATTGTACATTTCCATGGTAACACCACGTTCTAAAAATGTGAAATAGATAGATTGTGAATATGTTAGCTATTTTTGTAAATGACTAAATAATGCACATTTCCAATGAAGGATAGCACTAATTTCATATATAGAAGCTGTTTATCTAAAAGCTGGATTCATACTTAAAAATTTGACCATGTAAATTTAATATTCAAACGTGAAAATTCCATATATGAAAATGTTCCATATCTCTACAAATACACTGTATTCACACGAAATCTTCATGAAATTAAGCCTATACGTGACTATCTAAGACACTATACACATGCATACATTAGCTTACCAGGTAGGGCTGGTGCAGGAGGTGTAACCGGTGTTCCGCCAGGCGTAGTAGGTGGCGCTTGAAAAGAAAAAGTTTGTTAAAATCATCACAACTTGGTAATGCAAGTTCATATACACCAGGCCCATGTTCGCTTAAACTACACTCTTATAATATATCCCAAATGACTTTCTATTTTCCAAGCAAATCCGAATTTCCTACAGGAATCCCAATTGAAAGTTCAGATACCGAAATAGTTACTATTGCATATGTAGGAACAGTCCGAAATTCCCATAGGCTTTCCTATAGGAATTTTTCCTGTGCCAAATCTATGTAAATGAATTAAACTCACTGTTTGATCTCATATGCATTAGATTTGAGATATGAATTAGGCATGATATCTTTAAGGCCCTTGCGATTTTTGCGGTGATTTCTACTGCGATTTTCGTCTTCTGTGAATGTTCTGAGTGTATTTATCATCGTCGGTTCTCATCTGGATATTCATAACTCATTCACTTGTTTGCATCCACCATATGAAGAAAATCGCAGCAAAATTGCAAGTGTACACGGTCCTTTATTCATGATAAACGTTGTAAAATACAGCACTTACGTGGTACTCCGGTGTAGACATCCTTTCCACCCAAAGGCGCTTTCTCAACTCCGGATGGAAGTTTAACCTTTACTGATAAATGATCTCCC